TGCCTTGTTGGGTGCTCGTTAATTGTTTAAGTATTCATGTTTATGTGGAAAACGAAAAACTAAGAAAAAAATAGAAAATGTATGTGAATTGATAAATGGATAAGTTGACAGCCTCACTAGATATCCTAGGAGATGGTGGACGGACCGGGTCCATAGGTAAACCCACCGGGAATGTTATCTCATACCGGATGGGGTATGGAGACTTTAAATATTTTGGCGCTCATATCGGACGGGGTATGGGGACGGCCCGCTTCACCCTCATACCGGACAGGGTATTGAGGTTTATTGTTTGGCACCCATACCGGACGGGGTATGGGGACGGCCCTAGAAATTAAGTTTGTTAAAGGAATAGTTCACGGGTAGCGGGGACTCCTATGGATCCCCACGGATACTAGTAGGCTGATAAAAATGGATAACTGTTGTTTGATGATTGAAATATAAAAGTATGACATGTACTATGTTACAAATTGTATATGAACTTATGATATCTACGATGTTATTGTTTCCATATGTCGTTTTTATAAATCTCACTGAGGTAAGTGGACGGTAAATGGTTTGATTATTGATAAATAAATTTACTTGAAACTTGTGCTCCATTGGTTGTTTTTAACTAACCTTAATTTTTGTGACAGTGATATAGTGTAATGTCTTTACTGGGCTAGTGTAGCTCACTCCTTACTTAACCATTTCATATCCGGATGACTTGGTTTTCGAGCCCGATCTACAAGAAAACGGCGAGTAGTTACCTTAATGTGTATTAATTTCTCTTATAGTCTTTCATTTCCAGTATTTTCCTTTAGATGACTTATTTTCGATATTGTTAGTACGTTTAAGTTATTGTGTAAGGGATATGAACCAGAATCTTTTATTTCGTTTCCGCACTTATATTATTTATATACATTTTCCTTTTAAATTTCCGGAATCGTTACAATAAATATATTTAATAACTCAACTTGAGAAATAAATATCAATTAACTCTAATTTTTTATGTTCTTATTATTATTTTCTTAAATAAATTATTATTCTTAAAAGTCTATAGGATATTTTAATTTTATATCCTAAAGTGAAAAAATTTGTGAGCGCATGAATATTTATTTGTGACCAAATTCGAAGCGCTGTAGCAGATAATGGTTGGAACTTAGCAAAGTGGTGGGAAGTGGAGTTTGATTGCGAAAAAATATACAAAATAATTGTCTGAGCCCGGGTTCGAACCGGGGACCTCTAGTGTGTGAGACTAGCGTGATAACCAACTACACCACCCAGACAATACGTCAAGTCTACAATTCCTATCTTATTGATACATTTGTTCGAATATAATCCTTAAATTATTTTTAAAGATCATTTCATAGAGACATATTTGATAGTATAAAATTTTAACCGTAATTAAAAATAAAGAAATAAATCAAACTAAAACTATTTTAGATTTATTTTTACTACAATTTTAACCCTATAATTAAAAAGATCATAAGCTAAGTTGTTGTAAGTCAAATAAAAAATTTGTTGAAAGATATAATACATAAAAATGTTCACATTATGAAATGAAATAAAAGTTATCAAATAAAACAAATAAAATATTTTGTAGATGACAAGAGATATAATGTATTTATATTATTATATTAACAACAAAAACTATCTAAGCTTAAAATTTTAATTTTAACTTTTAAAATTGATTATATTTATAATTATAAAATATTTTTTACGTTCTATATTTTTAAATATTGACCTTTTCAAATTTAATTTTTTTTTAGTAGTTCTAATTTTAAGATTTTAACATTAATATCTAATATTTTTATATTTTGTCATATTTTGATATTATTTATTTTACGTTAAATTATGATATAAGTATCATAAATAAATATAAACTTTACATGTTAAAGCACTTGACACACATTTTTTAATTACGAATAGAGTAGGTCAATGAGATAAATGTATATTTTTAATATTCAATAAAGCCTAAGTCGTAACGGCATTGGAAGATTGAATCAATAGTTAATCGAGATATACATACATACATTTTCAATTCCATGGTATTGAATTATTTGCTATCAAATTTGTTTATTATAAGATTATTCATTTAAGGAATTTATTAAAAAAAAAAGTGTTTTTAGAACTAGGTTTAGAATCTTAAAATTATATAGGCAACGTTAGATAAATATTATTTTTTGTCACTATTCTTAGTATAAAAGAACAAAAGAGGGTTCTTATTACTTTAAAGGTTTGAATAAAAACATGTAAAAATCCATGAACTTGGGTAAAGAAAAAGTACGAGTGAAACATCATTTCTCTAGTGTGTTTCTCCAATATCATTTTCGGAAAGTAAAAAGTATGTACCCAGTTTGAAACTTATTTTTAGATTTAAATTTAATGCATAGTTATTAAAAATATGATCATATCAATTTGACAGGTATAAATTTTAGTAAAATATTAAATCTATATATTTTTTATGATATTCAATTATATAATATTATATATTAATACATTTAACGTTAATTATATAAAAAATTTAAATTTTTTTTGCTATTATAAAAAATATAATAGTACTCATTAGATTTGTGATTATCATAAATATCAATAAAAATTCAATTTACAATGTTAAACAAAAATTCATTTAGCTTACTTTTCTAAAAAATAATCTAAGCAAATCTCTTATAATATATTTGTTTTTAAATAAATAGATAGACATTCAAATATATTCTTATACTATTAAATCATAATAACTCAAAATAACTATTTAAATTTTTTCATAAATCTTATATATTACCCCTAAAAATAGTATTAAAAAAATAATATCAAGAGACTTTAACTATTCGAATTTATATAATTAATATCAAGATTTGAAAATAATAAAAAATGAGAGACAATACAAGATAGTCTAATTCAAATTTAGATGATACGCAAAGCTTTTTATTATAAATCATGAGCATTATAGAGGATTAAATTAGTAATTGTAATGATTGTAAAAGATCCTTAACAATTTTATTATAAGATACATATCATAATATAAAAGTTAATATACATGGTCTATAAGAGGTAGATTACCAATTTTTTAAAAAATATAAAGTGTGTAATTCTTCTACCATTGTGATCACTGATTTTTTCTCTACAGGTTGACCGGAGCAAAATACCAAACTGCAATGTGAGCCGAAGGAGCCTCCGCACCGAAGAGCCCGACCGTCAGTGAGTTTCGATTTTTTGTATTTTTTCGGCCAACCAATGACCTTTAACGTATTTTCTCGCAGGATTTGATGCAAAATCGGCCGAAAATAGTCGACCCGAGGCGGACCGCCACTGCGGGCAACGATGCCGTCGTGGAAACACAGCGAAGCCGCCGTGCTGAAATTCCGAAATTGGCTAAAATTGGGTCCTGAGACTGATTTTGGATTTTTTAGGATATTTGTATGTATTTACAGCGCGTTTTAATTTTCGAAGAAAAATTTAAGGAACCCGTGGACGGCAAGTAAGCGTAGTCAACAATTTAGTTTTTTGGACATTAAATTGAGTAAGAATCCATCACCTGTTCTCTCTTATAGAATTGAAGTATAATTAACAATAATACAGTATTTTGTACAATTTAAAAAATATTCATAATTAATTACGAGTTACTAATGGAGTTAGAATTGGAAATTATCTATTATCGATTCTGTTGAATTATTTTATAGTTAATTATATGATACTATTTCATTGATCGATTTTATAGTTTTGAATGTATGTATTGTTTGATTTATGTGATTACCATTGAATTGGAAAATAGAGAATAAAGAAAAATATGAAATTATATGATTAAGTGAATGGATGAAACGACAATCTTATTGGATATCATGAGAGATGGTGGACGGACCAGGTGCAATAGGAAACTCTACCGTGAATGTTATCTCATATCGGACTGGGTATCGAGACTTTGTAATTTGATGCTCGTACCGGACGAGGTATGAGGACGATCCGTTTTACCCTCATATCGAACGCGGTATTGAAGTTTAGTAATTTGGTGTTCATACTGGACGAGGTATGTGGATGAGACCGTTAATTGATAATGATAAAGGAAATAGTTCACGTGTAGCAGAGACATCCATATAAATTCTCATGGATACCAACAGGCTGATGAAAATAGACAATTATTATTTGATTTATTGAATATGGATTTATAATGTGTGTATGTTACCGATTACATGTGAGATCATGATAAGTGCTATATTATTATCTTTATAGGTTGTTTTTATAAATCTCGTTATAGTAAGTGGACGGTAAATAGTTTTATTATTAATAAATATATTTATTTAATTAAGCACTCAATTAGTTGTTTTAATTTTTTATCAAAATTCATTTCTGTGTCGGTGAGTAACGTGATATTTTTATTGGGTTAGTGTAACTTATTTCTTATTTAACTATTTTAAATTAAGAGAACCAAGATATAGAGCCCGATCCACAAGAGAGTTGCGAGTAGGATATAAATTTTATTTATTTTCTATTTATTTCTTTAATTTTTTTGTATTTCATTCAAAAGAGTAATTTCCGTAACACTATTCGGAATTTTAAGTTTATGTGTAAAAAATGTAAACATCTAACTATTTATTTTACTTCCGCATTAAATTTATAATTTATTTTCTTTGAACATTCTGAGATCGTTACAAATTCATTATTAATATACTAATAAATTAAATTCTACCTAATAAATTAAATATTAAATAAATTATCTCAAATTCTTAGTATGCTTACAAAATGATTTAAACTTTAAGCAGCTGACATTAATCTTAATTACTAGACCATCACATTAGTATTATATTAAATAACATCGTTATTTATATAAAGTCTCTTTAATCGAAGTATTAATTACTTAATTATAAGCGTTGGGTTAAAATTGTAATTCTGCAACTCGCTAATCACGATTCTCCTTAAAAGTCAACAAGATGTATTGAAATTAGAGAATCGGTTGACGGAGCACCGTGGGGCTGACCACATACTAATATTTTCTCTTCTATTATTATGTCTTTGCTTCAGCTTTGTAGCTCTCTGCGCTTAATCCGAATCGCACTCGTTTCCCTCCGCTAAGAAGCAATCAAATCAAACACACTATCCTTAACTACAAAACATATTATTTTTTTTATCCTATAATTATTTGATTTGATAACAACAGTGTTTTATCGTTTTATAATAGATTAACATTAATCCAACTCCTCTCTCTCGTCATCTATCTCAATTACAGCCAATACGATCCTTTTAATTCTGGATTGAATCTTTCAAAAGATTCAATTACTGTGTCTTGAAAGCTAAATTCGAGTCTTCAATTCCAATAATTGGAGCTGCTTCCCGTTTGAAATCCTAGGGCTTTCGTTTTCCACGGCTGTTTTTCTTTCATTATTATTATTTTTTTCATTTTCCGGAAAAATGGCCCAATCGATTGGGAGGAGTAGGGTGATCGGGGACTACCTGGTGGGACGTCAAATCGGCTCTGGTTCCTTCTCGGTAGTGTGGCACGCGAGGCACCGGGTCCATGGAACCGAAGTGGCGATTAAGGAGATTGTCACGGGTCGGCTCAACAAGAAGCTGCAGGAGAGTCTCATGTCTGAGATTTTTATCTTGAAGAGGATTAACCATCCTAATATTATTCGCTTGCACGATATTATAGAGGTTTGTTTTATTAATGTTGTTTTTCTCTAATAAGCGTTTAAGCTTTTTGTTTGCTTGCGGACAAGTATAAGTTTTGAGTTAATGCATTTAGAAGTTGTTCACCCCTTCGTAGTTATTTTATTTATCGTTTTTACACAAAATTTTCTGTTTATTGACCAACGGGAAACTGAGTTTGTATCCATCAGTTAAACCTCAGCACCGCATGTATCCAACATTAGAAGATCTTATATAGTTTCAAATGCTCAGAGAAATTTTTTCCCCCTTTCACCAAATCTGACTCAAGATGTAGCGAAATTTCTTTTCCTTAAAAGCATTTACTACTAAAAAAATTCATGGGAGCACAAACATGTTGAATCTGCCCTTGTTTATGAAGTTTGAACATTTAAGTCCAATTGTCTGATGGATGAAGAATGAGGGAAGAAGTGAAAGCAGTTGGATTTAGTGCGAAATTTTTGGAAAATATATACTGCATCGTGCTATTTCATCAATTGATAGATGAGAGTTCCGGGAGTCACTACTCATGTGTAATCATGTTATATTTGGTAACATTAAACTTAATAAAACAAATTCTATACTAGTCATGTTTCTTTCTTGTAAAGCTTCTTAGATTGTCCAACATCAAAGAGCTTGTTAAGTGGCTGTATTTTTTGAAAATTTATGGCAAACGTGTAAAATTTGTCCTATCTATTGGTTTTATGCTTGCATGCACTGCCTTGCATTTTTGGGTCTTTGTGCCTGATTGCTCCCTTTTATTTTATATGATGAACTGAGTTTGGTAATGGTTTTGATTGGTGCATTTATGAATTTCAGCTTTTCAACAGCTTTTCTATTAATATTTGTGACAATTCCCATAGCTAGCATCTTTGAGTTATTACCATTAGTACACATCTTGAATAAAATGGATAGTTCTAGGCAAGTCTAAAGAAGATTAGTCAAGATATTTCTGTTTCAGTAATTTGTTGGGAATTTGAATTCTCCTTCCGGTAAGTTTTGTCTTATATTCATTTGGTGTAGGTTCCTGGAAAGATACATCTTGTGTTGGAGTACTGCAAAGGGGGCGATCTTTCTATGTACATTCAGCGACATGGAAGTGTTCCAGAATCAATTGCAAATCACTTCATGCAGCAGCTAGGTATGGAAATATGTTGTGGTGGTTGTATTCTCTTTGTTGCAATTTTCATTGGCTCAGTCATTTGATGATGTTTGAAATATTTTATTTGTAACAGTGGCTGGTTTACAAGTGCTGCGTGACAATAATCTGATACATAGAGATCTAAAGCCACAGGTTTGATTTCTGTATACCATGTGGCATGAATCTCGTGATTTGAGTTTGCATGCATCATAGTCTGTTCTTTTTGTGAATTATGTTGAAGCCACATTAAGAAACAACTCTTAATGAAATAAGAACACAAAAAATTAGGAAATTTCTGAATTTATGACATATTACAGATTTCCATAATGCAATAGATAACTTATATATCATACAAAAGGATATTGTGTTCTTTAATCTCATCATTGCGAAGAAATCTTGTGTGAAGGAGTTTATATTTATAATGATTTGTTATTCTTGGAACAGAATCTGCTCCTCTCCACAAATGACAGCTGTGCAGTTCTGAAGATTGCTGACTTTGGGTTTGCAAGGTAATCGTTACCAACATCTGATTCAACCACCTATAATTTCTGTTTATTCTTTCAAATTTATTGTGGATGTTGAGCCTGGCAGATGAGCCATAACTATAGCAATAACCATGTTTTTGGGGGTTTCTTTGATTGGCTTTCTGTGTACCTTTTTCTTTTGGCCGAGAGAAATGTAATTATGTATAATAATGAGGTACCAAGGAGATGTTCCCAAGTACTGGTTCTGTGTAATTACCTAGATGTTGTTGAAAGTGATCTTACCAAGTTCTGTTTTCTACTCATTCAAATTTCTTGATATTATTGACACAGATATTTAAGCCATAAGTATAACAACAGGACTCGTTCTTTTCTAGGGCTATGCATGGATGTGTCCCAATATTTTTCTCTTCTTGTATAATATTTGACTATTGCTTTTTATTGGCAGGTCTCTGCAACCTAGAGGGCTGGCAGAAACCTTGTGTGGTTCGCCACTTTACATGGCTCCCGAGATAATGCAACTTCAGAAATATGATGCAAAGGTGATATTTTTCTTTCTGATTAATATTTACAATTTTTTCTTTAATTACTTTTTCTTACATTTGACTTAATACGCAGGCAGATCTCTGGAGTGTCGGTGCCATTTTATTTCAACTGGTGACTGGAAAAACCCCTTTCACTGGAAACAATCAAATTCAGGTTCAGTATCTGTGTATTTTTAGTTTACTCCCCAAAAGAAAAAAAAAAACAAAAAAGAAAAAAGCTGGTGTAGTGTTAGTTGTATACCTGATCTGTGTCGGAGTAATTGTTGTCCTGAACCTTGTGACGCTTTTGACTTGTTCATTCTCTATCGTGTATTGTCCAGCTGCTCCAGAACATTATGAAATCAACTGAGCTACATTTTCCACCTGATGTAAAGGCTTTGAGTCCTGAATGCAAAAATCTGTGTCAGAAGTTGTTGCGACGTAATCCAGGTATTGGGAGATTATATTCATGATAACTTGAACTGTTACGAAAAGGTTCTCTGTGTATGAGCATTTGAATGTTTGTGCCTCTATGATCTGCTTCCTGCAAAAACGGATGAAAACAAACTTTGTTGTGAAAGAAAGGTGATGCAGAATACAAAGATCCTAAAGTGGACATATTTCTATAGTAAGATATATTTATGTAATTGTAATTTTTGTATATTATTTAGGTATTTAAGTTATTTAGAAACTAATATATGGAATGAGTTTATTATTTCCTATTTAGTTTGGATCTTATTTAGTTATTTTCTACTAAAAATTATTCTAATTCATTAGCTTATTTTCCTATTTCGTAGAATACCTAGATATACTTAAGAATTCCTAATTTATTTTAGCTTGGTGCCTATAAATAAGGCGCCTTACCATAGTTGTTTGGAAGATTCTTTATGATTATTATTCAAATATTGAAATATTATTATGATTATTGAGATCTGAGATCTCCAAGTTTTGTTCTTAATAAATTTCTCCAAGTTGTCTTCAAGCTTTCTATTTTCTACATCAAAAGGTAAACCTATTTCTTCTGGAAAGCTTGGTTGGAGGGTATAGACAGGGATAGTTCAGGCACTCGCTTAAGGTGGAGCTGGATTAGAGCAACTTAATTCTTGCACAGAGTAGATTTTATTTGAACCCTCCAATTTTCTGATAGATGTAATAATCTGAAATTATATGTGAATTCTGGTGTTTGCGGAACTTAATACTGATTCTTGTACCCTAAGTACCCAGGTTACTAATTCTGTTAAGATATGCACCTCATTGCTATTGAAGAAATCAAGCTGGCAAGTATGCCATAATTTCATATCTTTGAGATTCTATTAAATTTTAAGATTACAAGATCTATATATATACAAATTTTGCACTCCTAATTGGTCTGTATAAGGTGTGATGAGGTTATATCTGGCTTTCTATTTGTAGTTGGGCTGCATAAGCCAAATTGCTCGGCAGTTTATACAATTGCAATGAAGTTTTTCTTTTGTCAATAAAATCATAATTTGTTTGTTCTCTGTTCTCTCACAATTCTGCTAAAAATGTTTTAACCTTAATGAATCTTTGTCTAACAGTGGAAAGATTGACATTTGAAGAGTTCTTTAACCATCCATTCTTTTCTCGTAGAACACTGGATGAGCCATTGAGGTAACTGAGATAGTAGTCTTGGTCGTAAGTCTTCCAAGTGTTCATAATGATGAAATTTCATGGGTTTCTCTTTGCAGGAATAGGAGGGTTTCAAGAACAGGGGATGATTTTCCTTCAACCGAATGTAGTCTTGTGAGGAACACGGAGGAAACTTCTCAGGAAGATTGTCTGCCATTCTTTTTGGATGATGATTCTTGTGGACCTGACGGAAGCCCTTCATTTTCCAATAGAAGGTCCTCAGGGAAGTCTTTGCATGGTTTTGCTGTTGATGCAAGAGTTGATAGAAGTGAAACCATGTCTAGTGCCTTGAAGAATGTTGATAGAAGGGAAGCAGCATCTAATGCTCTTAATAATGTGGATCTTCCATCCAGATACACTAGTTCTAAACAGAAATCTGAAGCTACCAGTTTTCAGCTTGACAGCCGACTAACTTCAAATGAACATCTAACTACACCTCCAGAAACTATGGAAGCAAGATCAGTTAGCACTCGTTCAAGAGGTAACATCATTGGTTAGCACTCATCCAAAAACTATGGACGTTGTTCTCAAACATGTCTTTTGTCTTTTGGTTTTTTTAATTTTAATTTTAGTTTTGATGTTTGTGCTCTGCAGCTGGTGATTCACTGGAGCTGATAGATCAAGATTATGTTATGGTGTCTGGACCTCCCATGGATGTCTCATCTTCTTTGACTAGTGCATTGAAACCGAGCCGTATTCCGTCCAATACAGGGAGCCCCCCAATGGATGTGTCATCTTCATTGACAAGTGCAATGAAACGGAGCTCTATTCTGTTCAATACAGGAAGCCCCCCCTTAGAATATGTAAGCAACAACAATGCATCAACTGCCCCGTTGCCTATAGTTGGAGCCACACAAAATAATATATGTCCGATTGGAAGCTTAGAAAGTCAAAGCTCCGCACCTGGGACTTCTCAAGGATCTATGGATCTGGGAGATGCTTTTGAGCAGCCATCAACTCACTGCATGACAAGGATCAAGTCACTGCAGAAATGTGCAGCTGCTATCACAGAATTAGCAAATGAAAAGGCGAGTGACGGAATTCTTCTTCAAATGATTTTTTAAATGCAATGGCAATTTGAATTTGTCTTTAGGGCAGTAAGTGCATCTGCAGATGAGTGCATCATATAGAATACGGGTTCCTTTCTCTTTCACACATACTCATGGCTAGTGAGTTGGTAGATGGCGTACAGCTCCAAGTTCAGCACTGTGCTGATGCTACAAAAATAGCTGCCCTCAAGTGTTTGCTTTTTGTTTATGATGTCTATTACTTTTAAGGATTTTATCAACAAGATATTGTATATTGCTATCTTCTGAAACATTTAAGCCGGATCTATTAGGTAGATCATATCTTGATGTTTCTATAAGAGGTGTTGGTAGAGTTCATGCTGGGTCGTGGATTTAGTATTCATTTTGTAGGTTTTAAATTAGGACTGAAGTATATGACTTGAAATGACCTATAACATGGCTGAATAGTCTTTAATGGTCAAGATCAGATAAAACTTCTATCTTAGTCCGTCGATCAGGTTGTCTTAGTAATAAATAGTAAATGCAAGGTTTCCTTAGTGTAAAATAATTCAAGTCTGGGGATCTCTGCAGAGGGTAAGTTATAGTTGTTGCTTGGATATAGCTTCTTGGAGACCATCTGTTCCCTTTAAATATACCCTAGTTTGCTCTGCCGGAAGAGAATGCTGTGTATTTCTTGAAGAATAACATGCCACTGTTCTCTGAACAGATTGAGGCTGGCAGACAGTTAGAAGCTTTCTCAATCCAGCTTGTGATTCTTGCTATTTGGAAGCAAGCGCTGCATATTTGTCACACACAGGCTGTCTCAGCTATGGAAGTAAGTCCGAGCCCCGAGACTACTAGATTGAGGAGAAACACCAGCCAGAAGCACGGTACTCATGATGCTGAAGAATGCCTTGATGTTGCCAACAATGCTGAGCCAGAGGATATATCATCTCATATCGAAAGAGAATTTCTCCGGGAAGTTGAGCATGCTGAGGAACTTGCCAAGTTTATTGAGCCTGGTATGACTGTTGTTATATTACCTGACTGATACACAGTTTCCCTGTTTCTTTATGCTTTTGTTTGATACTCCTATATATAACCATGATTTATAAGATTAAATATCCCTGTTTATTTAGTAAACTTTTTAGTCCCTTGAGAATAAAATTTTTTGTCCCTTAAGGATGTTTAGTGCTTGAAAAATTTCCAGACATTTATATATTTCTTGTGGAGGCAGATTTCCTGGTCCCAAAAAATCAGTACTTGATAAATCCTACCACGAGGATATACATTGGCAAACCTATGAAATGGCGATGTTGTAGCATGCCATGAGGAGAATATTGATATTTCTAGGATCTTAAGTAAATGGGTCTATATTTTCTAGAAAAAAATTTACTATTTTAGTCCTCGAGTCACATTCTATGTTACGTTCAAATAACCTAGTTTCTATGTCATTTACGAGATAAAGTTCTTTGCTAATACCATTGAAAAAATTAACAAAGAAACATATGCAATAATCTACATATGGAGTCCAGTCTTTCTTGGGAACTGAAGACTGAACAAAGTAAGTGCATAACCCAAGAGTTTCCGAGATTGGTCTACACTTTATGTCCATCCAAATTTTAGTTTCAGAGAATCTCATCTTTTTTAATTGTCAAAATCTGCAAACTTGTCCCAAAAGTTAGTCAAATATAATGATGCCTTTAATTGGAAACTCAACTGAAGTGAGTCAACTCGATCCACAACCATCAACATCAAATGGGATCTACAGTAAGAGACGAGGAGAACTTTTAGAATAAAAAACAGGGTCCTTTTAGCTCTAAATTGGTTGAAGAGCCTGGAATTTTTTTGTGCATGTGTAAGTGTTAGGAACAGAATTCTTACTAGGGACAACCTAAAAAAAAGGGGCAAGTATTATTGTTAATGCCTGCCTGTGCCTTAAATGAGGGGAAATCCTCCGACAATCTCTTCCTTTGGTGCTCCAAGGTTAGGTGGTTGTGGGATTTTCCACTGAGGCTTCTCAATCTGTCATGGGCTGTTTCCATCTAGGTTGTGGATTTGGGAGGGGATGCTCAACGTTCTTATTACCATGTCTTGTTTTTTCTGTCATTCTGGAAGAAAGAGTCAAAATAGTTTTTAGGATATTTGCTCTCCTTTTGATAGAATGAGAGATAACTGGCTCCATTCTCTAAGCTTTTGGGAGTCTGATCACTCATGTTGAGGACCTAGGAATCTTGATTGATATTCCAACTCATGATCTTCTTTTAGGATTCTTGGGCGGCATCTCCTTAGTGCCTGTTAATAATACTTCTTTTCTTTCTGAAAAATTAGGAACATGGTAACGGTTGAAAAGGGCACCAAAGTTGACAATGTCGATGCAGGCACTGTGCAGTTGACTACTAGGAGAGTCTAAGCACCAATAACTAAACTGTGTTGGACTGGCAATGGCAGCACCAAAACACAGGATTGAACTCATTGTCTGTGACAAACAGATAGGCTGCAAAATATGTTGACTATCAACAGCTTAATAAACTGGCGGGCTGACACTGACGATTGATAATGGCTGATGAGGGGAGTGAGTAGCATTTTGAGAGTGTTGGAATGAGTTTGAGACTGAGGGAGAGACTGGAGAAAAATCCCATTGTGGTTCTTTGTTTTCGTTGATAGAATCATATGGGCTACACTTGGTGCGTAGCCCAAACAAGTCTTTTACATGTTGTGCTTTCTCTGTTAATTCTTAACAGTAACTAAGAAAAAAATTGCATTCACTAGAGAAGTTATAGTTTTGTAGAGTAAATCGTTAGAAAAATATTTTTTGGGATTAAAGTAAAATATGAAACATAATTCAAGAACTAACATGGTGATACACTCATTTTCTTAATGTGGATATGAAATTAAAAAAAGTTATGTCTTGGTTCTATTGTGTTTTAAGATGCTAAATAATATTTTCTCCTCATCATAATTGCAGGAAATATAGAGATGCCCGATGCAATGGAAACTATATTTCAAGCTGCCCTTGCTCTTGGCAGATATGGGGGAGTGAGTATTTTTTACTTTCATTTCATGTCTTTAGACTGTTTTATGTGCTGCATCATATAGACGATAATCTTTAACTAATTATAAAAGTCTGTTAGTAGATGCTTTAGATTAAGAATCCCAACCCTGACCTTTTCATTTTTCTTTTCTATTTTCCTTCATGTGTCTGTTATATAAATATATTATGTTTTAATATGCTAGATTCTGACTCTAGTCTTGAATTGAAAATTTATGTTTTTTATCAGTAACTATGTTTTGACAGCTCTATCTTAGCGTAAGAAGAACTTGGAATGGGGTTTATGGGATTGTCATGGTTGTCTGTGGGGTGTGTAGTTTTTCTCTGTTCTGTTCTCTCCTTTTGGTGGATTGGGGACATGCTCTGATTCTTCTTGTTCATTATGCGAATGTTACTACCACCATTCAATATGACTTCTTTTCTCTTTAACTAATTGTTATCCTATTTTGTATTCATTTGGGATGGATTTCTTGTTTCTATTTGACTAAGTTGATTAGAATTCACTTAGGTTGCATTAGTTAATTTTTTTGACTCGGTTTTTAGTCATATCCTAGTTCTAATATTTAAATTTAGTTTAATATACATAGAGGACATAATTTGTCATGTTTGAGTTATTTCTACCCGTGTCTTTAAATTTTCTTATGATGAAAATTTGGTTACTACTTTCCAAAGTGGGATTTGAGATAGGGCTGAGAACAATTCAAACACGACAAATTTTCTGATTACACATAATAAGACTATATGTGAAGTAAAACTAATAATTAGTTAGTATTTTATGACAAATAAACTAGAAGAAGCATTAGGATATGTTTGGGACAGATGAACAGTGGAAATTCATTTGTAAATGTTGGCTCAACTGTGAGGTAATGAAAATTCAGTTCCAAGGGGAAGAAAACTAAATTCCAAAGAAATTTTTTTCAAGTAGAATTAAATAATATATTTCAAAATTTAATTAGAGTTGAATTTTTCATCTCATGATTTTATTAAGTGTATATTTCCAAATGAATTCCACAGAATGATTTGTTTTGTTGTAGAACACCATTAGTGTACGCTGAAAATGGAACTATCATAACTGTGTTAAAAAAAAAAAAGAAAATAGAACTAATAAACTATTCTCGTTCCTCATCTCATTTATACTGCATTATTATCTCCATTTCATGGAATAAGACTCTCTCACCCCCCTATTTGATGGAATTAGCATTAGGAATCAAATTCATGAGCTGAAGACTAACTTTAACACGCCGCTGCGAGCATGAGGCAAGAAAGGTTAAATTAGCAGATAGAATTTGTGACCTTACATGCTATATTGTTAAATATTCCCAGTGAATTCCAGTTATTTATTTGTTTGTTTTTTTTTTTTTCTTAATTGAAATAGGATTGGTGATTGGAGAATTTAATAGAAAGTGAGATGTGAAGCCACCGATAAGTCTAATTGTATTTCATTTGGCAGGTGGAAGAGCTCATGGGTGCAACAGACAAAGCGAGTTTATTGTATTCGAAAGCATTGTGGTTGTTAGTCTTCCTTCTAGTGGAAGCACCATCTCTTATTCTCAATCCTCCATTTTCTCTCACAAACTCGGATAGGTATAGACTTCAAACTTATATAGATATCCTTAACAACAGGAAAAATCATCTGAGATCTCAGAAGACGGCTGATCTCAATTGGAAGAATCAGCCATGAAGTAAGAATTAGAATTTTTTTTTTTTTTTTCTACTTGTTTGCTTGATGAAGTTGCCCAGTTTCACTGTGTAAAATTATTCTTTGTACAGCAATTCTTTGAGTGAGCGGGAATTAGGATGTTGGCAGGGGGTCATCCTGCATTGAAATGTGGGGTGGGTGTTGTAATGCTTCTCTCTCTGTAATTTAAGGAATGATCAACCTTCTTCTGTTTGATGATTGATCATGATGCCTTATTTGAATGTTGTTATTTTTCCGACCGGGGATTGGGCAGTAATGTGCTCTCTTCTATTTCTCTGAAGATATCTTTTTACTGCACCTCTCAGATTCTTTGCTGCGAATGATAAACATGCACTTTTTTACTTGGGCAAATGGATAATGTGAATAAAATTATTGAGGTAGGAAAAGCTATATGAGATTTCTTTTGAGGTTTGGATATAATTGTTAATGTCTCTGTTTTTTTTTTTAACAAAATCATAAATTTTTATTAAATTCAATTTTAATTTCTTAATAGACATTCAAAAATAATTTTTATTAATTCAATGTCATTTTCTTAGGATGTGAAGTGTTCCTCCGC